CCACAGAACATGTACAGGGAAATTAGGGTCCTTTCATTGTGCCACTTAGATTAACTTTTGCTACTTTGACCCAGTTAAAAAACATGACTTGATGATTGCACTGTAGAAATTAGAAGCAAGTCTGGCATTAACCTGACTGCCTGAGAAATGAATGACTTCTTCTCTTGCCAGCATCTGTAGCAAGAGTGATGAAAGATGTTTCTGGTATGGCCTGGAAAAGCCTGCATTTTAACCACGAAGGGAAATCAAAACAATGAAGGGAATCAGGCTCTTCCTGAAACACTAACAAAGTTTCCTAAGTCCCACCTAATTTGGTATCATCCACAAACATACTGAAGGTGTGTTCAGTCCTCTTGTGGAGACCATTGATAAAAATGTTAAGCAAAACTGGCCCCACTACTGAGTCTTGGGGCATGCCACTGGTGGCTGATCACCAGCGAGGTTGAACTCCATTCACTGTGACTCTTTGAGCCTGTTTGCCCAGCCAGTTCTTCACCAGTGAGCTGTACACCTGTCCAAGCCACAAGCAGTCAGTTTCTCCAGGAGAATGTGGGAATGAGCATCAAACACTTTACTAAATCCTGGTAGGCAACAGTCTTTCCCTCATCTACTATGTGAGTCATCTGGTTGTAGAAGATCAGGTTTGTCAGGCAGGACCTGCTCGTCATGCTGGCTGCTTCTGATCACTTGATTGTGCCATGTGATGGTACTCAGGGTAATCTGCTCCATCACCCTCCCTGGTACTGAGGTCAAACTGACAGGCCTGTACTTCCCTGGATCCTCCGTGCCCTTCTTGTAGATTGGAGTCACGTTCACCAGCCTCCAGTTAACTGCGACCTCCCAGTCAACCAGGACAGCTGGTAAATTACTGCCAGTTAATTGCAGGCTCCTTCTAAAAGACTGCAGACTTTGTCTCTGCAATGCTATGCTCAAGCCTATCATTTGATTTTCTATGGTTTATTGACTATTTCACTGCTTTTTTTTTTTTTTTTTTTTTTTTTTTTGTCATTTAAATTCCAGTTTAATTTCTCTCTCACAAAGTTAGTCAAGAAACACCAAGTAGCTAAGAAACATTTGCAGATAGTGGGTTTGCCAGTCAGCACAATTTAATTAGCAAAGGAGCAGATTATTCATAAAATGAATTATTTGTTAAAGGATGTACTATCTAGAGCCTTCTTATCTGAAGGATTTGTCAGTGTTGTTATCTACAACACTGCTTATCTGACAGTTTTGGTGAAGAAGGTGTTGTATAACCTGAAGGCGTATGAACTCTCATTTGGGCGGAGTTCACAACAGCAGCCTGTCATGCTGCTGCTCTTTCCCTTCTATAGCTATAGTAATAAACCACACCTGTTCTGACCTGATCTAATTTGTAGCCTGTTATTTCTGCAACAGTATCAACACTTTTTTTTTTTTCCCCAGCATATCCAAACAGCTTTAATGACAGTGTAAAACGATGGAGCTGAAGCTCATTTTGATATTATTACCATTATTAACACACAGCATTCGTCTCTTGTCTTTATTTTGATCTTTCTATGTCATCAAGCTTTCAACTTGGAATATCATCATTCCACATTTTTTATTTTTTTTTTTTTTTGTGACATGATGAAATTTTGTCAAACTTCTCTGCAAATCGCAGTGCTTTTGTTAATTTTGATTTTTCAGTATGAGGTGCTTTTGCTGTACCTGGTCTGACTTTGTGGGATTCTTGTTTTTATAGCAGGGTTACTGGGATCAGTAAAATACTTTTCAACAAGTCAGCTATTTTTTAGCAAAATTTGTCCCCCTAGGCAATCTCTCAGTACACCACCTTCATAAAAGTACTTTCTATATTATTCCTGAGTAATTACAAAAATGCTAGGATACCTTAACTCTGGGAGTTCTATTATGTTGACCATGAATAACATACATGGACTAATATTTTCCAGTATTGTCTTAAATGGTTGCTGTTCTGCACCTGGGTGCAGGAGGAGATGACAAAGAAGAATTCTTTCAGGATGTCAGTAGGAACAGCACAAGAAAGGGCTTAATAAAATAGATGTTTTAATAAGATAATATAAAATTGGAATATAGCAAGTAAATCTTACGTCCCCTGAGGTGCAGGGCACCCCACTTTCAAGCAACTCTATGGGGAAAAAATTCTGTCCTTGGAGTGGACCCTCCTCCCTCCCATACTGTGGTGGCTTTTTATTTTTTTATTTTTATTTGTGTGTGTGTGTGTGTGTGCGCGCATGTGTATGTGTGTAACCAGAAACATTTATCTTCTTCTGACAGGTTGCAAAGTTATCTCTGTCATAACATTCACACCCACACAGCATAGGCCAGCATGGGTCACTCCAGCAGGTTTCATTAGTGTCTGCTCATGTTTTCAGCAAGACACCGAGCACATTCACCTTACTGAGCTGGCAGTGCTGTAAGACGTGCCCTGCACGTGTGTGGAAGATGTGTTGGCAGGAATATTATAAACGTCAAGTTCCTTTCTACAGTGAGTTTTCACAGAACCTGTCATGGTGGTTCAGTCATTGCTTAATGTGTGAACAGGGCTGGAAGGCCGGCCCTTGTCTTTCCAGCACACTGCTCAAGGCCTTCTGGAGAAATTGAGGTACAGCTCAAGGAAGGTAAGAAGAGAATGCTGTTAATGAATAATAACACACAAGCAGGAAAAAATATTGCTGACATTTGCTTTGCTACCTCCTTCCTCAGTCACCAGGACCACCATTTTCATCTTCTCTTTCTGATGCTGTTGCTTAGGTGCTGCACCTCTCTCCCTTGCAGCTTGAAAATTAATGAGGCCTTTTCAGTCTTCTGTGAAGAGAACAGAGGTGAGGGACCATGCAGCCTATTCCTGGACAAAAGAAAGCCTGCACTGATGACACATGACACCTGCTCTCTTTTCTTTATTTTGGTTTCTATGGTTACATGTACAGTAGAAAAATACTTTGGGACTTTTCACTAGCGACAATAGCTGTAAAAATACATTATCAGTACAGGGCAGTTCTTTTTCAGCTCTGTGAAATAGTGCCTGAGTTTTCTAACTGCAGGTATGAGCTATCAAACCGCTTTTCTTGGAACATGTTTGTGACTAAAATTCAACTGTACTTCTTGAAGAAATACCTCATAAATTTGAATACAGGTGACTAAATTCTGCTTATGTAAAATCCACCTTCCAATCTGAACTTCGTACAATTTGTATCAAAAGAAAAAATATGCATCAAGGATAAATAATGTATAGCTGGATCACAGTGACCCGTCACTTCTGAGGACTATTAACAAAACAATTGACAGGATGAGATATAAGTCACCAGTTATACTTCCAAGAAACTACTAACCATGTGGTTCTTAAGCAAATATGTACCTTATTCTTAAGATCTGTTCTATTGTGAACATTGGAAGAATGTGTGCCCAAACCTGCAGATATTGAAGAAGAAAAGATCGGAGGATGGCACCTTGTGGACATCACAAGAACATAAAGTTTTGTTCTTAAAAGTTGTATTCATAAAACAAAACAAGCTAAAATAACAAAGAAGAACAGGACACAAGTGTACATCTGCTTATATACAGATCATTACCAAAGCTACAATTCATTATTGCCTGGAAGAAGCAATATACAAACAATATAAACATATCTGCTTCACATGTTCATTTTGCTGTACATATGAAATAAACTAAAAACTTGGTGGGCCGGAGTATCACAGTGTCAACTGTTACAGTCCACCCTTGGGCTATATTCTTCACCTGGTCTTTATACCCAAGATGCCTTCATTACTAAATTCACTTGACAAAATTTTTTGTAACATTTTCTTCTCCGTGCTGTTAGACAGAACAGAATGTATGCACTACTTGTGTATTATGCCTTCCACTTTTCCCTTTATATATACTGCCACTGTTATTTTTTTGTTCAGCCGCAGTTACATAAACAATGATTCTTCAAGTGAGTCAAAGGTACTCAAACTGAAGTAATGAATTAAAATGTTATCATTAAATGCACAGTGGGGGACTGGGGTGAGTGAAAAGAAAATAGGAATATGGGTAAATTTGAGGTAGAATTGTTTTTTAAGATAATTTTGGCCTTATCCTATGAAGCAATTAGTGCCTACAGATCATATGAATGCATTCAGTGTTTTGTGTTGTGAGAGAACCAGTTTGTCAAGAGTTCCCCATCATCAGAATGAACTGTTTACAAGCTGCTTAGAATGCCATTAGATGTGAGCATAAGTACTTAGCAGATTTTTTTACACAGAAAAGCCACCTACCAGATTTTGAGCTAACTCTGGAGATGTTTTTGTAACTAGGTATATAAAACTGGCAAAACTAGCAACTGTGCTCTGCATGAATTGTGAATTCACTTCAAGGACTCTGGTGATATTTCAGAATACACGTGCACTTTTATGTTGATGTGGCTGTGTGCACTATAGCCACCTTGCTAGAAGTCCAGAACTTTAGCATACATACCACAAGCTTAGGCTGTCTGCTACATACTAAAGGGGGAATATGCACTGCCATCTGCTATTTTGAATAGAACACCAGCAAATTCAATCTATTTCACCTGGTTAAAAAAAAAAAAAAAAAAAAAAAGGCGTTACTCAACTGAGCATGTAAAAGCAGTTTAACAACAAACCTACAACATGAAGAGCACCTGGAAATGGGAAATTAGAGAAATGCTAAGTTGGCCTTCACGTTCAGAGCACGGCGGTGTGAACACAGGATGGGCATTTCTGTCTCGGTGCATTTTCCAAGAGGAAATGCCCACAGTGGAGGGTGATGCATCACAGGTGCAGAAATGGTTTGCCTTTAACAAGCAGCAACAGCTTGTCGTAATTTACCTAACTAAAATATTTGTTTCACAGATTTTCCCAGGCGTCTGCCGTACGCAGAAACAAGGCGATTTTCTATAAGGAAAAAAAAAAAAAAAAAAAAAAAAAAAAAAAAAAAAGAGAAGAAAAGAAAAAACGGAACTGCGAGGGAAGACCCGCTCGCTCTTTCGTTTCTAAGTGCGGGCGAGGAGCGCAGGGCGCAGCTTTTTCCCGTGGCAGGGCGGAGGAATCGCCACCTCCAGGGGCTGCCACTGAAGATCGATTTTTGGGGCAAAAAACCCAGCCGCGCAGAGCCTTCCCCCTCCGCTATCAGCCCCCTTTCTGGGCGGTATTTCCCCCCGTCAGGCTGCAGGGCAGGGGGGCGGCGGTTAACGGCCGCCCAACGGTCTGAGCATGCGCAGCGGCGGCGCTGTCCTTGTAGAGGCGGCGGGCGGTGCCGCCATGCTGCCGCTGCCCTTCGCGTGCCGCGGGGAGGTGGTGAGGGGCTTCGGCAGGGGCTCCCGCCAGCTGGGCGTCCCCACCGGTGAGGGGCTCTTCGCCTGGCAGCTTTCTTTTCTTTTTTTTTATTTCCTTTTCGCTCTGTTCCCCCTTCTCTGTGTTGTTCAGAGCCGTGTGCCTTCCGTTGTTGAGGCAGTCCCTTGCCGTAAACCGCTTTAAAATCCGCTTGAAGCCTTGCACGGAGAGCTGGAGCTGAGCGTGAAGGGAGTTACCTGGGACAGCGGTTAGGGGAGAGTCTTAGTTCCATTCCCTTCAGTCAGGAGAAAAAAAAAAAAATAATAATTTTCTAAGCGAAAAACCCCAGTTGTCGATAACCTAAAAGGCAGCTGGAAAATTTTGACAGGTGACTAAAGTCATAAAATACATGCAAACAAATTAAGTTACTTCCTAGAAAAATAATTACGCGTAAATTATTCTAAGATGCCACTTGAGTGCGCAGAAGAAACTTGATTTATTTATCTTTGACCATTTTATAGCAGCGATATTTCTAATAGTGCAATGCATTCATAATGGCTATTTTAGTTTTATTTTAACTGTAGAGCAGAATGGATATAACAATAAAATAGGAGCTATACTGACTGGTAGTGGTACAGGGACTACATTTTATGAAGTCATTTTATCATTTATAATTTGCAAGTAGCATGTTATATCACAATCACCATCCTCGGCACTCTGTTTGCACGTAGCAGGGTGGCAGAGCTTGACTTTCAAGTGCCTGAGAATTCTGTCATGCTCTTGATTCACATAAACGTATATTTTCTAAAATTTTTGCAGCTAACTTTTCTGATCAAGTAGTCGAAAGCTTTCCATCCGATATCCCTACTGGTGTATACTATGGATGGGCCTCCGTTGGAAATGGAGATGTGCATAAAATGGTTTTGAGCATAGGATGGAATCCTTTCTATAAGAATATTAAGAAATCAGTGGTAAGAATTTTGCTTTGTGGCGGTACTTTGATTATAATAAAGGAACCAGATTTTGACTTTGAATAAGATGAGCAGAATTTGGTCCATAAACGAGCCTTAGAAATTCTGTTTGTTATTAGGAATGTATTTGGTATCCATCTCATATATTTGTATTCTGAAAAGGAAGTAGTCTCAGATAAATAAATTCATTATATGTTGTGTCTTCCACCATTACTTAAATTCTTCTGAAATGAATTTGTATTTCCAAAGTGGTGGTTGCTTATTGTTTTTGTAGCTAGATAAACGTAAGCCTAATACAATATCAAATTTAATGGCTATGAGAATCTTAGAATGAGCTAGGAAATATTAATATATTTTCCTCTTCAATCCATCTGCATTTTAAATAAGAAATTTGGGTCATCTTATTTTGTAGTGGTTTTTCATTAATATTTCTCTTAAATGGTAGAATACGTAGATGTGCTATAGCTTAATATACAGAGTCAAGGTCCAGAAGTAGTAACAGGATGGAATTAAAATCCTGAACTGTGCCATCTGTGGTGTTCTTGTGCTTTTCCTGAGTCTTGCAGAATTTACTTTTAATTGCTAATACTTGGAAGCAATTTTGTTTCAATGTGAATCTCTGCTTTACTGCCCTCACTCCTTTTATAATTTTAACATTCAGTTCCTTTAACAACTAGCCATGAAGGCTTTCTTTAAACAATTACAACCAAATTCATTACAGTTATTTGGAATCATCAGTCTAATGATCAAACAAATGTAAATGTTTCTGATATGTGGCTTTCAAAGCCTTACCTCTGTGATAAGGGATCAAATGTTTTTCCTGAGTGTTTTTGTTTTTTAACATTCTGTTACTAAGTGAATAACTTTTCTTAAATGCTATACAAAGTATAACTCTCCCTCCTAACATAATCAAAGTCTCTAGCCCGTTAATCTTACATTATATGTGTTAGACTATCTCAGTTTTCCTGATGATGTGTGGGAGAATTTGAATTAAAGATGTTAGCTGAACATCCTTGCAACAAGGGGAAAAACTCAGTTCTCCATGATAAGTGCCAATGTATAATGTATTTCTCTCTTTTTTTTTTTTTTTTTTTTTTTTTTTTTTTTTTTTTTTTTTTAGGAAACTCACATTATCCATAATTTCAAAGAAGACTTTTATGGAGAAATTCTTAATGTAGTCATTATTGGATATATTCGATCAGAAAAAAACTTTAACTCTTTAGGTCAGTATTACAAGTTTCTATTAAGCTATTTGTCATATTCTAGCATATTGAAAGTACTGTGCTATCATTCTCTCTCTTGTCTTCAGAGTCAGCTGTTTTATGCCTTAATCTTTAACGTTTCAGTAAAATATTTTTCGTAAGCTGAATCTGCTAATATATCCATTGAATGTATATAATTTAAAAAGCAAATTAAATTCAATTAAGAAACAAAGCCACAATTGTATCAATACTTGTGTGCAGTGACTGTATGACTCGAGCCTAATAACTGTGTGGTCTTGCTAGTTGTCTGAGGTTTAATTCTAAAGTGATGTGGCTGTCATAAAAACATTTGTCTAGCATGTCCATTCCTTTTTCAAATGGTTCATGAAATTCTGTTGACTTTTTTTACTAAAATGCCCTGAAACAATGAAAGAGTAGTGCTTGGAGTCACTGAAAAATTAAAAATTCAAAACTAAAGCATTTTTAAAAACAAAGATAATATTGCCTTTCCAACTTCGTAGTAATAATTATGTATTGCCTCTGATTATTTTCTGGTGTTCTGTGGTGCACCTTATTTTCACTTGCTATTCTGTATTCAGAATCCAGATCAGCTTTTAAATATTGTTATTATGTTTGTTTTTTGTTTTGTTTTTTTTTTTCTCCCCCAGAGGCACTCATTTCAGCAATTAAAGAAGACATTGAAGTGGCAAAAAGACAACTAGGTTTACCAGAACATCTTAAACTCAAAGACAATTTCTTTCATCTGCTAGAAGAGAAAATAGTAAACCACTGAGGAAAAAACTTTTTCTTCTCTTATGGACCTCTTTTCTTTGCCTGGCCATGTATCATTTGATATATGACATAGACCTGTACTAGGTCTTCCTAGGATGAAGTTAATTTTCTTTGTAACAGCTTGTATGGTGCTGTGTTTTTGATTTGTGACCTAACGCATTAATGTTTTATCTGTTCCGGAACAGTGTTTACACAGTGTCAAGGCCTTCTGTTTCTCACTCTGCCCTCTCAGTGCATCCACTGGGGCTGCGCAAGAAGCCGTGAGGGGACACAACCAGGGAAATGATGCAAACTAACCAAAGAGATATTGCATACCATGCCGTGTTGTGCTCTACCATAAAATGGAGGGAGGGTAGAGATTCAGGTAGGATAGCCATCTTTTTCTTGGGTACTGGCTGGACATTGGCCTACCCGTGGGAGGCAGTGAGTGATTAACTTCGCATCATTTCATTTCTTTTTCTTATTCCACTTCTTTCCTTATTAAATTGTCTTGACCCATGAGTTTTCTTGCTTTTGCTTCTCCTTTCCTCCTCCTTTTCGCACTTACAGGAGTGGGTGGAACTGAGCGAGTGTCTATATGGTATTTAGCTGCCTGGTAGGGTTAGCCCACAACTGCCTGTTTGGGTGATTCTGATCAGACCTGAACACTAAAACGACACAAGATTTAAGTTTTCTTTTGTCGAATGGTCACTAAACTAGTTGTGCAAAAGGAGAAGGCTATTGTGGTAGGTCCTTATAGATAAATTGTTAACCCATTATTGTAAGTCATTTAGAGATCTTAGTCCATTTGGAGCATGACCAGAGTTAATTACCTCTACTGCCCCTAAGGTGTGAAGAGTTAAAAACATCAAAGAAGATTGTCAGTTTTCACATAAAGAATATTACTTTTAATTTGTTTCCCAAATTTGTATCTGGCTTTTAGCTAGCAGCTTAGAAATATGTAATATTGAGACAAATGTTGACTTCTTGTATCTGAAGCCATTGATTCTATAACAGTAACAAGAATGATTCATAATTGTTCTTATTTTTTGATATGCTATACATATATCTGTCATAATTGAAATTATTTATTGTAGCCTTAATTGAAGTAGAAGAAGTCTTTGTTACTCACTGAGTTACTGGAATGTGAAATAAAAGCTTCTGCCTAGTTAAATGTACATGTGGCAATGCATGACATGCTTAGTTTTCTTCCGAGGAAGTGTTTCATTAAGGTTCAGAGAATGAATGACAGGGAGAAAGTTGATTTATGTCAAAGGTTTCAGGCTCAAAGGGTAAGGAACCAGTTTAACAATATTTCTAAGGCAGGGAAGGTAACCAAAGGCAACTGCATTTTAGTTGCTGCTGGCAGCTACTTTAGATAAGGAGAACCCTTGGGTTCATTATACTAACAATGATACGGTGGGCTTAAAAGTTGAGGTTAGAACGTAAGGCATAGGAAAGTCCTTTCAACCCTCTACACTAATTGTAGGTAAAATCCTAACTTTTCACTGTAGATCAGTGAAAGTCTTTGGAGATTTGTAGACTACTATATGAACGTTTCAGAAGGTACTCAGTATTTATTACAAGTCATGGTGGCCTTTCCCACTCTGAAATGTTTGCACAAGCAAGTGCAGGGTATGTTGTCAAAATTAACTAACTTGGAAGAGATCTGTTAACGCATACACCTACTTGGAAACGTACTCTGTATTTGGAAGCCTGTACTTCTAAATCTACTTCCCCCACGCTCTAGCACAACTTTCTGAATTTCTTCCTTGTCCCACCTCACTTTGAATTTCAATCCAACATTTCAGAGAGCTTGGATGAAGTAGACTGAGGAATTCTCTGCTAGAACCCTGTCAGCATGCCAGGGTTCTAGTTCCTCTTAATAGTACTTACATTTCAGCCAGTATTCTAGGATATTTTTGGAAAAGGCCTTGAGCAAGTCAAAGAATTGTTATAGGACGTACACAGAAGCTTCATTATTAAAAGGAATTGCTCATCAGTCCTGCTGATGGCAAGATAGAAGGGATACACCTCTTGAGGGAGGAAAGAATGATTTCCATAAAAGCACTTACTGCAATAAACAAAGCAGCATTTTGGCCTATGTTGCTAAGGTTGTTTATAAATTTAACTCTCCAAAGACACTGGCAATTTTGTCTTAGCTGTTGCCTGGATGTTTTCAGCACACTTTAACCTTCTTAGGAGGAAAACATAAAAAAACAAACAAACAAAAAAACCAACTGCTGTCAGAAATGCTTTTATTTAAAAACAAACAAAAAAAACAAAAAACAAAAAACACAACAACGTAGATTTACTTTATTGCATGTTGGAATTCTCTGTAAGAATTGTCTTGAAAGTGATAGTAGTTTTATGTTTTTTTTTTTTTCCATTTTAAAATATAGTTGTGATAGGGGAGAATTTTTTTCCACGTGTAGGAAGAGATTCTTGAGTTGGTAATGATGCCAAGGTCTTATTTTATGTTTTACTTTCTGAAGGAACAAATAGTAGCCATGCTAATCAATGAAATGTGTTGTCAACATAAAGAATAAATCTTTATTCACTGTAGTATTACAGCTAAGCTCATAGCTGCCTTTAATTTATTTTTTTTTTGCCACTGATTTTTGTTTATTGTGGAAACCCTGGTGCCTTAAGCTGGTTGTCTTAGTAACACTATTCTGTAAGTGCTAATGAGTGCTACTGTACAAAATTAATTTCATCATTTGCTTTCAGAACAGCTATGCTTGATAGAGAGCAGTACCTAAAGAAAAGTTTGAGAAACTTAAGTTGCTCATAGCTCTCACTTAAAGTATGAAGAATGTTAACAGTAAACTAATAAACTGGTCTTTGCACATTTGTGTTCATGTTTGAGAAAATGTAATTGCATTCATTTGGTTGAATGTATATATCCATGCATTATTTAAGATCAAATACTGTATTCCTGTTCATTACATGATTTCCAGTACTGTATAAGCTTTATGAAGGGTTATATTTTTCCACTGTGTGCAAATAACTATTTAAATTTGTTGTAGCACTGTACTGTGAATAAAAGAATGTAATTAAGAACCTTGTAATGCTGCTTATCACAGATGTTCTGATTGATTGTATTGTGATGCAAATCATTTCTGCATATTCTTTAGCATATACTGAAAGAGGTGCAGAGTTCTTTCATTATGCTCCTTAAATTTCTTGCAGAGTCAAAGGGGGAAAAATGTTCATCTTGCTTATAGACTTGCTGCTACAATATTTGTTTGAGATGTTTTCAGTTTTATATATAAAGGTAATACACGAGCACCAAGTGAAACGTAAGGATCACTGAAATTGTTGGAGTTCAAGCAATACAAGTATTTCTGTAGCTTCAAATACTTAAAAAAAAAAAAAAAAAAAAGCCTATATTTTTTTTCCCATACATTTTAAATTGACTGTTGCCTCCTGAAGTCTATTCCTGTTGTGAAATTGAGTTGGTAATCTGGGAATGTCAGTATCAGAAGTTTTTTCAAATGCACATGTGAGATAATGGTCTTACTTGGATAACTGTGGCATTAAACAGCCTGAGGGTCTAACAGCCTAAAAACCCCAGGCTTAGCAGATGTTAAATTGGACCATGCCTTTGTGTTTTGAAAAAAATAAGGGAGCAAAGTCTGGAATAGTTGATCATACAGGCTGCTTGTATAGCTTGTATATTTTGAATTGTGAATATGAGATCCTTGAAACAGGTATGAAGCCTGTATTCAGTTGGTATCTTTTTTACTTTGAGAGATTCCCTGTGTATATGGTATGACTTTGTCTAAAACTAATTGAAAATGAATTAAAAAATCATATTTATGTACTTAATTTTAAGCTATAAAAGGTAAATATTGTGTTAAAATTATTACTAATGTGAATAACATGCATTTTCTATAACTGTTACACAAATGTTGTAAACATAGAATGTCAAACATTTTTCCAGATGAATACAGTGAATTAATTCAAATGCTAGGAAATATCATTAGTAGTGTTCCTGCTAGAGAGTGGTACTTGTGCGTTCTTATTTACTGATTTTTTTTTGCAAGCTCTTTTGCCACACCTGTGTTGATAAATTGTACTGAGCCAAAGGAGATGAGAAGTTAAAGATGTGTCTCATAATTCTAGTTACATACAATAATCACAAAACTGCAGTAGGTGAACTTTGAAAGTTTTCCCCAAGAGGCACTGTACTACTTTGATGTCTTAGATGTTGATAACCTTGGTATCCTTAGAAGCTGTTTTTAAAGGACTATATGCAGCAAATAGCTTTTTGAATTCTTATTTTGCCTTCCGCAATTCTTAGAAATAGTTTATTCAACTTCTGATCTGTAAGAATCACTGCTGTGGTTTATAATAAAGGTTATTGCTAGTATTGCTGTTAAACATTTTTTCTGTTTAAGGAGGCTTCTGACAAAAACTTGGCTCCTATGATGTGTTTCTGTGCCATGCCTAGCAGTTAGGTGTCATAGTCCTCTGAAAGTCCTTGTAAGTGTGATTGCCTAAAAGGTTAAACCGATGGGAACAAGTGTTCAGAAATTATTTAAACTAGCTAACTCACTAGCTCTGGTGAGGCCGCACCTCGAGTACTGTGTTCAGTTTTGGGCCCCTCGCTACAAGAAGGACATCGAGGTGCTTGAGCGGGTCCAGAGAAGGGCGACGAAGCTGGTGAGGGGCCTGGAGAGCAAGTCCTACGAGGAGCGGCTGAAGGAGCTGGGCTTGTTCAGCCTAGAGAAGAGGAGGCTCAGGGGTGACCTTATTGCTCTGTATAAGTACATTAAAGGAGGCTGTAGTGAGGTGGGGGTTGGCCTGTTCTCCCATGTGCCTGGTGACAGGACGAGGGGGAATGGGCTAAAGTTACGCCAGGGGAGTTTTAGGTTAGATGTTAGGAAGAATTTCTTTACTGAAAGGGTTGTTAGGCACTGGAACGGGCTGCCCAGGGAGGTGGTGGAGTCACCATCCCTGGAAGTCTTCAAAAGACGTTTAGATGTAGAGCTTAGGGATATGGTTTAGTGGGGACTGTTAGTGTTAGGTTAGAGGTTGGACTCGATGATCTTGAGGTCTCTTCCAACCTAGAAATTCTGTGATTCTGTGAAAATTAAAGTGTCTGAAAACAACCCCTCTTTTTTTGTGTGTGTTCTTGTTCTAGGACTTAACAGAGATATGTCCGCAGAACACTGTAAACTCAAAATAGATCTGTCTTTACCCTTTCTTTCAAAATTTAAAACTGCTTGGTTCCTTTAGAAGTCAGATGGAAAGAGCTGTGTCCTATTCTTATGTTCTTGTTCACTTGTTTAAACAATTATTTGGGTCAGGGCAAAAGTCCATCTGCTATGGTTGAAACCTCTATCTTAACACACATTAATCTGTCTCTGGTCTCTTGGGGAGACTTCCTCTCATGCTTTTATGCTGTTAGTATGTAGACCTTTAACCTCTGTGTGACATCCCTGCATTCCCATGAGAAAATAATGTAATGTGTTATGGGTATGCCATAAGGGTTGCTTTTTGGATTAGATGGAGAGGAGTTTTCAGTGTAGTTTATTATTTGTCAGGGGTTATGCTGTTCTACCAGCTCTGTGTCTTGACCAGAGGCATGGATTTAAGTCCTTAAGCACCTACATTGAGGTTTTTGTTTAGTATCTGAGCAATGTAATTTCAAAGCATTCAGTTGTTGTAGTCATTATCTGGAACTGAAGTTTGAAATTAAAAATATCAAATTGCCTTCATAATTATTTTCTAATAAACGTGGTCTACATAGTATTTTTTTTTTTTTTTTTTTTTTTTTTTCTTTTTGTGGATCAAGAGTATCCAAGTGCTCAATGTGTTTTTCTGCAAAATTTTTCTGAGGTTTGCGGTTGGCTTGCTTTCCCATAGTGCTTTTGTAGGTAAGTAATTAACAAAGTGCTCTTAAACTGTTTGAATATTTGTTCCTCATCAGGAGCATCTTGTTACTCAAAGTTCAGGCTTGAAACTACACATACACATTAAGATGTTATGGGGAGATGAAAAATCTATAGTTAGTACTAGTCTATTCTGCCTCCTGCCCACAACCCAACTTCTAACAGTTACTTATGTGATTCAGTTTCTTATTTTGATTTCTATCTTTAGCTCAAAATTCCAGTCTGAGTTTTCAGCCAGTTGTGCAATTGTCATGTAAGACCCAGGAGTAAATGTGTGGTATACCATGAAAATGTAGTCTGGTCAGGAAATAGCCGGTAGAGGAAGGAGTCCTGGGACCCAAGATACTTGAACTCCTCCAATGCACTTGCCTTCACTCCCTTTCTAGCAAAAAATCAGGATGAAGTCATGGAAGAGAAAACTTTTTTCTATTTATGTGTGGAAAGAACGCTGGTAACATACACCTTCCTTTGAAATCAAATTGCTGGATTACATGAGGGGTCAGTGGGTTGTAAAACTATATAGGGGATAGGATCTTTACAAGATGTTGTGGAAAGAGCTTTACTACTGATAGGGTAATGAGAAATAGTTGCCTAGCAGAAAGGCAAATAAAATACAAGTAATCAGAGAAGAGTGAAGGACTTCAGAAACTCAATGGATAAATGAGAAGGGCAAAGAAGGTACAGAGAAACCAAAGGCCTTGAGAAGGAAAGAAGGCTTGAGAAGCAAGAAAGAGAGAAGTTTAACCAAAGATAACAGGAATTGAGGTGGATTAAAAGAAAATTAATTAGGGAAAAGTTGAGTGAAAAATATCCTGTAGCAGGTTTGTGTTTTGAACTATATTGGTAAGAAAAATATTCCAAGAGGAACTCTGATGGGTGGAGGAGAACATAGCAGAAAGAGCTGTCTTTGTGGTTTATTTGTATTTTTAGCCATTCAGGACAATTTTAAATAAATGAAACTGCTCATAAAAATGATAGAGATGTTACTGAGATCACATGCAAAAAAAGCTTGCTATATCTAGCAGAGTGATTTCAAACTGCTCAGATATAGTTAGGTTTAAGCCTTTGAAACATGATGGGGAAAGTTCAGGTATTCAAAGCAAATTCCTACAATTGTAAATCATATATATGATTTATATATAAATCATTATAAATCATAAATATAAATAATTAACATAAATCATTAATAATGACTAATAAAATCATTAATAATATAAATAGTTATAAATCAATAATAGCAGCATAATCCAAACAACTTAATCCAAACAAGTGTAGAGAGCAGGATTAAACAAAGTTTTTCTTTTAATATGACCTTTCAGTCTGATTTTTCACTTTTTACCTTTTTTTTTTCCTTCAGAATTTCTCCAGAGACAGTGACAAATAAAATGCATCTTTCTAAAGTACCTTACTGTTGTAGAGCTTTTGATAAATAAAAATCCTTTTTTGGAGGGCCTTTGTGAAAGGACATGACTTTGAATGCCTTTCTCTTACTGAAGGTGCAATGATTAAAAGATTAAATTCAAAGTGGTGACAATGGACTTGTCCTTAGAACCTTGAACTTAGAAATGGAAAGATCCTCGTGTCTTTAGAAATACCTTATACAAAAAATACCTCTTAGATATCAATCCATAATAATCAAGTATTCTCACACAATTCATTTGCAGACACTAACTGTAATTGATTTACAGGTCTGGAGCTAATTCTTATTGGAAGTCTAAAGGAGCTCAGAGAGAGCAACTTGACAAATAACAGCATTTTCAAGATGGTTTTGTGCAAATAATTTATTCTTTCACAGTAAAGGGCCATGAAAAGCATCCTTTTCTTTAGTACAATGCATTGCATTTCTGTAGTGATTGAAAAAAAAATCACATTGCTGTGTTCCTTTAAATTACATTTCTAAATAAGTACAAATTATCCCCTTTGACATCGTTTGACCATCCTTGAGGCATTTACGGCAGAAATGGAAAAGTTGCTTGAATAAACAGTTTAAATCTCTTGTAGCTGAGAAGGTAGTTGAAAGACAGAAGGAATCCTATTTTGTCTGTGCTTATAGACAATATTTCCCTTTGCAGTAAACCAAGAAGCCCGCGTGTACAATAAAAGATTATTTAACAAATGCTCTAATAAGGATTAATCAGAGGTTGATATATAAAGTATTTTAGTGTTTTTTTTTTTTTTTTTTTTTTTTTTTTTTTTTTTTTTTTTTTCCTTCTCATACAAACTGGGGCTGCAGTGAAGTTACCTGTAGTAGTCACAATTGCAGGTCTTAAAAATCATGTTATAGATGCACAATTTCACTGGGAAGTATGTTCCAAGATTATTAGGAGAAATGTGTTGGCTTTGAGCAGTGCAGATGTACCAGATGATATCAGTGAAGAGAATCTGGCTAAAATCAGGAAACTTGCATATGCTATTACAAATTGCTACACAACTATAATCACAATGTAGTAAACTACTGGCACCCTACCACAGTGACATTTGTCATGTTGTTAAATAAAACTATCTTATTTATATCTGCACATTTTTAGTAGAGAGTGGCAAAGTTCGCAGAAAGTGTGTATGCACAGTTTGGATAGATGTTTGTGTTTGTTGTGATGCACACACATACACATCAGGAAAGGATTTGCTGTCCATGCAAATGCACATAAATGTAATCTCCTCACCAGCCTACATCTGGAGTGTTACTTAAAAGCCTAACAAGGATTTCTGTAAAGCTTCAGGAAAAAATGTTTTTAGAAATCACTCTGCTCTCACAATAATTGTAAGCTACAGTCTTAAGATCAGCATGAAAAGAAGTAACTAAACATACTTAACTAGAATGCTGTAATTTAATAGGAAAAGCAGAAGAGCAGAGCAGAAAAACTCTAAGTTAGTAGAGAGTTATCTAAATGAATAACTTTCATCATCATATTCAAGCTCATCTTCTTCATCGTCCTCCAAAAGTCCATATCGATATCTATGATACACTGTGCCATCCTGGCCCATATATACGATATCATCTTCATCATCATCTTCAACATCTCGATCCCTGTACTCAATCACTTGATCTTCCTGATAGCTCGTGGTCTCGCGGTAGTTGCTCATGTAGGAAGGAAGGACTTTGGAGTGATTTGTCAGCTTCTCATACCCACCTTTCTCGACAGCATGTCTTTTGGATTTTGATTTTCTCCAGATGACTACAATGGCTCCAATGACAAGAAGAAGCAAAATTGAGGTAATGACAAAGAAAGAGGTTTTGCTTTTGCTTGCAGGTGGTTGAGTGGTCCGCAATACACAATCATCTGACAACAGCAATAAAATAAAAAAGAGTAAATGAAGTTGTGTGTATACGTGTGTAACAGGGGGTGGGGTTGAGTGTCTCTTTTAAAAGACCCAGTACAACATTAAGGCCTGCTTACATTTTAAAATGTGTTTGGCTAAATACCTTACCTGTTCAGTACCTCAATTACGTTCTTCTGGCTGTGATGGTATGAGGAGGTAAGCAAGGCTCTTGGGACAGCTACAATTCTTTATTAGATTAGGAGTAACCAGAAAGAAACAGAAATGCTAATAGGCACACAAACACAAACCTACTCTGTAAGCCTAGGCAAGAAATATAGCACACCCCTGTTGTATTTATGCTTTTTAACTTTCTGGCTGCTAGGATAATTTAATGACAAGTTGTGTGCTTTGAGTGTTTTTCGAAATTGTATCAGTTTGGTCTAATAAAAACATTTTTTTCCAACCTACAGGTTGTCCCTTGTATGAAATGCTGTAGCTATTTAGAAGTCAACGGTGTGATTTTGACATGACGAGCTTAGAATGGGTCCATATTGTTTGCTATCCACTGAAGGAAGCATGTCCCAGTCAACTGCTTTATGTGTGGCCATTTGGCACAATACATGTAGGTGAGAGTAACTGCCATGTCAGTTGCAATTAATGTTATTTGGGTAAAGCATTTCTATTCTAGTGATGGAGCTGTACAAATACACCAGGTACTTGCAGCTCAGCAGTGCATTTTTGCTGTTTTCCACTTTTCATTTCTAAGCGTCAGTCTACATTTTTTTCCATTTCTAAATGTCCAAATTAAGCACACGAGCAGCTCAGCTGCCCTTTGGGGTGGTCTTACCTTGCGTTTCACTGCAGTCACAGCACTCCAGGATGGGTTCTGGGTCAGGGTCCCTGCAGCAGGGCAGGCAGCGGCCTTCCTCGAGGTAGAGCTGCGCGCCGGCTGGGCAGACGGTGCAGTTGAGAGGCCCGGGTCCCTTGCACTCTGTGCATGTGCTGTCACAGCTCTCACACTTGGGGTTATCCTCCTTCAGACACAGAACACAAAGAACATGCCTTTCTTTTCAGCTCCCTTGGACCTCACCTGACAGGTCTGTGCTGTCACTCACTGTCTGGGTGGTCATGTCTGGACACCAGGGGTGTCAATTGTAAAATTGAGTAGGGAGTAGGAAAATTGATGTTTAGTTCCTACCTCCTAGGTTCTCAGTGATCTGCTTGTAGGGAGGGGGAATAAAGTGTTGTAGGAGCTTAGTTAGGGATGTGACCTAGCTAGAGAGCTATCTAAAATTCATTTGAACTGTAAGTTTTCTGGTCAGAATGTATTTTTGTTTTGCTAGACCCATACTGGCAGATTTGTGGTTCTTTGGCACTAATGCATTTAAAGTAGCCTTCAAGAACATATTCAAGAACATAATTAAAAATAACTGAGATGTGAGAAACCAGACGAAATATTTGGGGGGATGAGAGGTGGGGAATGATGAGAGAATAAATTCCTTTTGCAGCATGGGAAGGAGCAGAAATAAGAAGTAAAGCTGGGTGACAAATTTCTAGCAAAGCAAATTCTTATTAGATTGCGTTGGTTCTGTTTAACAGAAATGTCTTAGATTCAGAAACTCTTCTCAAATTCCAGAGAGGCTTTTGGGAACCTCCATGTACAAAGACAACTGGAGCTTGTCACTGTCATATCCACTTCTCAGTAAGCTCTGAGGTCAGGTAATTCAGGGCTTCCAGTGTTTGCATTTCCTGGCCTACTGGGAAAAATTATCTGTTTTTCTGTCTTGGATCCAGGATCACATACTCAGTATGAGGATCTGGAAACACCAATAACCTTTCATCAGTCTTGATCTCTGCTTGCTGCAGAGGGCTGCTTGTTCTGAATCTAAGAGCTTGGAAAAGATGTGGGGTCATAGCAGTTGGTCTGGACAGTCAAAGCCCTTTCAAAAACTGTGGACCTCTGTGGTCTTCAGCTGTTAGGCTGTTTTTTCAGGTTCACAGTTATGCAGCAGTTCTGCTACAGGAAATTTCAGGCCAGAGACTTCATAGTATGCAGCATCCCAGGCCAGCTGGCTTGCCATGCTGCTATATTCATGAATAAACAACTCTGGGAGGTAGTTGGTATAGAAGCCTGAAGCAGGAGTGCCCAGACTTGTGGCACAGACTCAGACCTAGCTGTGGTCCTACTCTGCTCAACATACAGGTCTGTCAACTTCAGCCTCTCTTTTCACTAGAGATTTCTACTAGCATTGTTGTCAATCAGGAATGTGATGTGATTTCTTACAAACAAAGCAGCAGAAAACACCAGGGAAGTCTCAGTTATACTTGAAGAAAAGAAATGCCCTGTTATAAATGTAGCTGATTTTGTTCACATAGCTTTGGTATCATCTTTGCCAAAGTAGTGTCTTTGTATTTACTGGTAGAGAATTACTCTACAGTAGAGAGAGACCAAAAGAGAAACAATACTTCCCCTATCAACAGAAGAAAAAAGTAAGCATATTTTAAGACAAGAAGCCTTGAAAACTTAGGGAAGAACATTCTGTTTTTGTGTTGTGTTCAGAAGTTGAAGTTCAGCATGCTAATCACAGGAAACAATGCCTACAAATATTACCTCTTGTCCTGACACATCTTCGACTTTGTAGCTACCTACAAAACAGTCTGAGTTGCACATTCCACCTAACAAACTGTAGCTCCACACACAAGATGTGCAGCTGAATGCTTCCTTCCCTAGAAAGGAAAATAAACCAACAGTATTAGACCAGGAAATATTGTCATCTATCTTCATTTTAAAAATATTCTCACCACCACCACCACCAAAGAAAAGGGATACCTGTCATCTTCAAGAATCAGCAGTAGGGAGTACAGTTTGAAGAAGCCAGTATTAAAATGCTATTAAAGAGCTTAGACCTAGTGCTTGAAGTGTATTTTTCTTTCGTGTTTTGATATTCACGAAAAGATGACTAGAATATAGTTTTACTAAGATGTAGTTTTACAGGGAAGCTCAGGTGCTCAGTAGGATCAATTAGATCAGTGTTCTAAAGTAAAGTTGTGGGAAACCTTAGCCAAATGTTCCTCGCAAAACCAGTAAGTATTTGGCCTACTAGTTAGCCTTTTTCAAACCACAATGAATCAAAGTACATTTATGTTTAAATAGCAAAATAATTTTTTTAGTTGTGTAGGAAAAAAGTTCTTCACTAGGTGCAAAGAGATCATCACATGCACTTTGTGTGTCTTCTGTGAGTCTTTTTTGAAAGCAGATGCTGCCTGTAATGTTTCTGTGAAACACTGAAGTGAATGTTTTTTCATATGTTAAGATTCACGTATTAAAATGCATCTGTCCAGTTCCCTGCAACTTTTTCTGCCACTGTCTGAAAGGAAGAAAATGTAAATGCTAGTACTTCTTGTCAGCAGAAGCTAAACAGGTGAAGTTAGCAACCTTCCATGACTCAGCAAATTTACTATGTGTGTTTGTTTTGATTTGTTTTCCTGACCAATGCAGGGTTTACCTACATGGTCTTGAGAAACAAGAGACACCGTATTACTTTTTTGCCTGTATCTCAGCAATGCAGATACATTTCAGAACATCTAATATTTGTTGTTTAGAATCATAAGCTTGCTTTTTTTATCTTAGTGTCTCTTTAATTACAACAGAAATTCTCTTCTGTAACATTTATCATGAATAAAGTAAAAATCAATGACTGAAAGTAGTCTGGAAATTAAAATGACACTATTTTTGTCCCAAGTCTGAGCCAAACTATTTCTGTTATTTGTTATAATGTTGTTATGCAGTTACGCTTTGATAGTTCTTGAAGATGGCTTCAGTCTTGGAGTGATTTCCACAATTTTAAGTATTGCTATGTTGCAATTAGCCATCTGTGCTATCCAATTGATCCACTATCCAAAACTATTTTGATATGTTGCAGTATGGTGTAGTCTGAGCTGCAGAGTGGCACATGCTAGCTGTCATCAGATAACACTCATGTACAGTAGTACAACAAATGGGTCCAACGAGATTAATGCTGCCCTGTCCTGAATCTGATGCAGTATAATTTAGGGAAGAGACTGAATGTGTAAGTGTGTCACAGAGCAAAACAGATGGTCTCCCAAAGTAAAGTTTGAAAAATACTTAACCATATTAAAAACAGCAGACATCACACTGCTTTTTTTTCCACCCTAAAGATATTCTTTATGGCCTTATTCTTATTTTAAGTGTTGCAAGCTTTTGATTTTTTTTCTCTTTCCTTTACAGTCTGTAAAGGTCTGTGGTTAGATTTAAATTACTTGGCTTTCACAGAGTAACACATAGCAGGTTAACTCAAAGAGTGAGATATTATTCAGTGTTTGTGCAAGAAACAGGGAGGGCCTAGCTCTGTATGCGACAGAGCCTTTTTATTTTGAAGTGGATGAGCATCTTTGAGAGACGCCTGGCTGACTTAATACTTAATTACTGCTGTTGGTTTGTTTCCCGTTGCTGGGGACTCAGTCCCAGCCCTCCCGTTGTGTGTCTGCTTTCAGACTTGCACTCTGTGCATGCAGGCAGCCCTGTGGGGAGCTTGGTCGGATTCATATCCTTGTTTTGATCTCGGTCAATCAATACTTTAAAGGTAATGTGGCAGCATGGAATCTCCAACAAAGTGAGTGACCCTAGGGTCTGGGGGAAGCTGGCAGCTTCTGTAGAGGGCTTGCCACCCTCTGCAGCTACTGAGATCATTGATGTGTTGGTAGGACTATGCATGGCATGCCTCTGCATGACATGTTTCCAAATCTTGGAGCAGAAGGAGAAAAAGAAAAGGGATGGCAGGTGCCTTGACAATCCTTGACAGTGGTTTTGATAATCCCTTTTTTGTCAAAGCAGAATTTTTTTTTTTTACCTTCACAAGTTCGACAGAATGGGTGGCATCTTTCACAGACATTGTCAACCTTGTTTTCATAGTAATATTCAGGACAAGAGCTAACACATTGGTTCTTGGAGCGCAACAGGTAGAAATATGTATCACAGTAAAGGCAGTCTGTCTGTTGAGGCCCCATACACTCCTTACAGCCCTTGTGGCATCGCTCACATGATCCAGTGGAGTTTTGTGCAAAATATCTGAAACAGATCAGACAGATCAACTCAACAAACAGGCTTAGCCAGACGATACCAACAGAGGATCAGTTGGTTCACTGAAGCTATGCAGTCAAAGGGAAAAGAGGAATAGCTGCACTGTGGCTGTGTTGAGATGGTCATTACAGACTTCAAATGTAGTGGCATAATAACTGAATTTAATGATTGTACTTACCGCAGAACAAAATGGACCTGAGCCACAAATCATAACTCCATGTTCTAGGTTTGAATTTTTGTGACATAGCCACAAGAGCTCGAAGTATTCACATTTTAAAATTAAATGAATTCATATTAATGAAGTTACTACCTAGAATTTTGAGTCCTCAGTTAAAAGATGTTTTAATCATTGTTTTTATTATGATCTTTTAAGCATTTACTTAATGCAAAAGTAATCTCATCCAGGTTAAGTGGAGCCTGCAAGCATGCCTGAAGCAAGTTGCACTTACTCTTCTCAAGCTGACTTGAGGGGATAATTTAGCGTATTTATTCTGCTTCACACTGTTCTGTATAACCTCAGAGTATCCTCAGAGTGTGAGAATGCCCACATCAGATCATGCTGTTCCCAATTTAGTAACAAATTTTCTAGTTTTAAGCTGTGAGGGGATGCTTTCTACCACCTCTATACTGGAATAACATAAGAAATTTTCACCCAGAAATGTAATTCAGTTCTGTGTGACTCTAAAATAGAATAGGGCAGAATGATCTAATTTCTCCAAGTACTGTATGTGATGTAGCTCTTAGCTAAAGATTTAGGACCTTACCCTGATGGACATTGGTTTACACATCCTTTTCCTTGTCTGTACCAGCCTGGTTTGCAGGAAAGGCACTGTGAGCTGTGCTTTCCATTGCAGGTAGCACAGGCACTGTGGCATGGGGAACACCATCCCTCGTCACTGTCAGCATAATATCCATCTGGGCATGTTTCAACACAGGTTGTATCTGCACAAACAGCAATGCAAAATATCAGGTAATATTCAACATCAACATTTGCTGTTATGAATTAACTTACAGCTCTGCTAGAGCAAACTCTCTAGCAGGACATGCTGTTAGCACTTATATGAGAGCAAAAAAAAAGGGGACATTGGGACATTGTAACATTTGTTTGTTCTTCTAAACCTTGTCAGTTCATCCTCATTTCTGTGCTTCATGTAAATTAGCAGGCTCTTCAGAACAGAAAATTACTTATCTTTAGGCAAGATAAATGCATAATCATAATAATGAACAGCTGTGATTTTGTTCAGAATATGAAAAAGGAGAAATAATAATGAAGAAACTTGCTATTGGCATAACCATTTTTTTTCAAAAAAAAATTTTTTTTTTCACTCTTAAGTGTCAGACTAATTGAATTCTGTGTATATGATTAATCTGATGGTAACTCTGAGATTTAATGACATTTGTTCATTGGTTTTTACACCTGTGTGTAACTGCTGCTTTGTGTTATGGGAATAAATGCCTCCAATACTGCCAAATGTACCAGGCACATCTCATTGTTTCACTGAGATACCAGAGCATCATTAGCAGGATAGAAATCTGGGATGAGAAGTTAGGGCTGATTCAAACAAATGCAAGTGCACTATGCTAAGAGAGATGTGATTACTCATTGTCTAACTTCTCTTCATAATTTTGCTGCTTAGGTTATAAGTGGGCAAAGACACGTTTTTCTTTCTTTCTTTCTTTCTTTTCTTTCTTTCTTTCTTTCTTTTCTTTCTTCTTTCTTTCTTTCTTTCTTCTTTCTTTCTTTCTTTCTTTCTTTTTCTTTCTTCCTTCCTTCCTTCCTTCCTTCCTTCCTTCCTTCCTTCCTTCCTTCCTTCCTTCCTTCCTTCCTTCCTTCCTTCCTCCTCCTTCCTCCTTCCTGTCTTTCTGTCTTTCATCTTTGTACACTCTATATTGTTTATTTACATATTTCCATTGTAATTGTCATTACAATGGAACTATTGATAACTATATTTATCAATAGTAATCATATAAAACTGCTGAGTGTGTACGTATGAAAACAGGTCTGACACAAGACCTCAGAAATTTAAGAATGCAAAATCTGCATCAGATTAGACTCAAACAGCTTAGAGTCATCTTCACTTCAAGCTTTCTTTAGATTTTTCCTGAATGAAATATCATTTTGATTTTTTTTTTTCTTTTTAAATATGCAAAGAAGTGAAGTTTAAATTCTGGTATCTTATGCTTTTTACCAATTTGTTCCTGAAACAACACAGTCTTTTCCCCCAAACTCAGAAAAGGAAAGTAGTTTTGTATCTCAGCCATCCACTAGAGACTGTTCTAGTGATCCAGGGACAAATTTTTATCAGTTCTGTTTAATTATTTCTTTGCTCAGCAGGTATCTGCAGGGATTAAACAAGCCAACATGAAAATTGTTAGCTTACAAAAAAAAAAAAAAAAAAAGTTATAAATTTGTTCCTCTAGACTTTTTCTTTTTAATTCCATTCTAGGAAGCAAGAGTGACAGTAAATATGGAGTGAATAAAAAAAAAAGTTCTGTTGAACCACGGGCTTTGCTGCTACTTAGACTTCCTTTGGCCCCGGTGAGTGGCAGATACCAGAATGATAATTTTTCCCAGTCTCTTGAAGAGTTTCCAGGTAGCCCTGCAAAAAGTAGTTGTCACTGCACAGGTCATCTACTTGTCAAGTCAACTTTGAAATGTGTAGATTGTCTGAAGCCGTCCTACATATTTAATGAATGTGATGGAAACTTGATTATTTCATGTTCTTCATGTAGAATGAAGTCTACAAGGAGGATCAAGACACTTACTGAGAAGGTAGCGGTTATTTGCACAGCCAAGACACTGGTGTTCAGTTGGTCCTGAGCAACGAAAGCATTTCTTATGACAAAGCTTGCAGGTCTGAGTTTTCTGGTCATAGTATTCAGTATGAGAACAGTATCCAGGTGCCACACAGTGCCCGTTGTGGCTCAGGATCAGGCCATTTCTGCAAGTAAGGCAGGCAGCAGAAGACGAACAAGTCTGGCATGTCCTATTGCATGCTGGAAGGCACAAACAGTAGGAAAGTCATCATTTCTTGTTACATTTTCAAATTATTGTTTCAACTTCAAGTTTGCAAGGAACATCCTTCATCTGGGGGTGAGAGGCTGAGGGAAATTAAGAAAAACATCTGTTCCTATATAGTCAAACCATTTATCATTTTCAGACTTATGCAGACAGTTCCTCAGGTTTCCTTTTGCGCTGGCACTGCTTTTGCTGAACAGTGATTTGCAACATACTGCCTCCTACTATACTCAGTGTTTTACCAGAATAGTTGATTAGTTGCTAGTAACATTGAACACATCTGGCTTTGATATCTCTGTCTCTGGATTTTATCTTATTTTTACTTTATCTTTTTTGCTGATTTTCTAAGCTGTTTTTTTTTTTTTTTTTTTTTTTTTTCCCCCTGCCATGCTATTCTCTCAATTTTCAGGACACTGACAGCCATAGCCATCACTCTCAGGTCCTGTAGGAATCTTTAGCCAGTTTACTTGTATCTCAGTGCCATTCTGGAGAAAACAACAGCTACCAACCTTGACAATCTTCTGTCTCTTTTTCATAATAAGTCCCTTCGGGACAGGCCTGAAAACACATGCCACCGTAAAGGACAAAGTAGCTGATGGCACACTCAGTACAATCATCTGCGTCTGGTCCATCACAATCCTTGCAGTCTTTATGGCAGGGAAAGCAGTGTTTGTCTTCAGCATAGAATTGGGAAGGGCAGTCCTCCACACACTTCCCTTCATGCAGGAGGAACTCATCCATGCATTCTACAGAGAACAACAAACATCAGGTAAGAAAAAGGGCAGCTAATTCTGACTTCAGTAGGTGAAAGAGTGAAGAAATCCTAGGAAACCCCAAACCCTGCAGTGCATGTCACAACAGGAGATAAGTGGACAGTTCGGGAAGGTAGTTCTTTCTCTTCTAACTCTTCCTCTCCAACTAGATATGCTTCATTAGAGAAGTTCATTCTTCACCATGAGTAGTCATTTGTAAAAATGACAAAGAGATTTAATGTTCAACCAAACTGGGAAAGAAACATTCTTATTTCACTGTGGTGTATGTATGTATGTAAGTAGGCACAGATACACTAAATCAGCATCAAAAAAATATAAATCTCTGACAGACAACAGGAACAAGGAAAGCAATGTGAAACAACTTTATTTTCTTTCCCTTTTTTTTTCTTCTTCTTACAGATAACTTTGTTGGGTCTGTGTTTCTATCAGTCTGCTTCTAGACAGATCTAGATAGATTTAAGCCAAGTCACAAACAGTTGTTTGTAATACCTTTGCACATTTCACTGTGAATGCAGTCCTGGCACATTTCGGGACAGTGTTTACAGATTCCATCAGAGGCAAAATGTCTCTCTGAACAGGTTGGTTTACATTCCCACTGCTCCAGAAGCAAAGGACTTTCACAGGACTGACACTTCATGGCATTTCCCACGCATGTCTTACAGGATTCACTGCATTTCTTGCAAGTCCCAGAATCATTAAAGTATCCCCTATTGAGTGAAAACAATCACAAAACAAAGTGTTGGTCAGTGTACATTTATCAAACAGTCCAGGCTGTAATAATCGTAAGCATATGTGAGACTATGTGACATTCCCGGCACACTCAATTCAGTGGATCAAACAGGTTTCTCAAGCCAGTTGCCTGTTCTCTACTTGATTACATCCCCTATGACTGCAAGCAGAAAACATGCATGTTAGTACCATGAAGGGAGGCCTTCCCTTCATTTTGTACCTACTCTAAGGGATGCTGGACTTCCTTTCCCACTGTTTTCTTGGTTTGCCCCAAGAAAAAACAAACAAACTGTTAAGACCAAAATATTAGAAGATACAGTAAGAAACAAGTTTGTGCTTTTAGGTGATTGCTAATCCATATATATACAGACATTGATTAAAAATACAGAAGTTGACTTAGAATGTAGAACATGTATTTCACATTAATAACCCTGGCTGGGGCAGGAGAAGTGGGGAAGAAAGTCCTCTCCTTTCCAGAGGTGACTTGTGACTTTTCCAAAAACGGGCTGGGGAGATATGTTAGGAGAAAGGCTAGAGAAAAAATAGAAGAGCTGTTCCTGCCATCTGTTCTTATCTTACCTCATTTTTACTCCTGACCTTTGTCATAATTCTGCAACTATTTCTCAGCCTTTTCTCTTGTTCCAGTCTCAAGTACACTTCTAGCTCAGTCTTTCAACATCCTCTGTCAGAAATTATCAGTGCAACAAGTCAACCCTTTCCATCACTCACAATACGCTCAAGGTTCCAAACAAACACTAAAAAAAATCCTTCCTTAGTACTCTGCCTCAGTGGAGAGTAATTAAGAAGAACTTTGTCAGAGGCTGAAATCAGAGTTTAAGTCTAGCAAACTTTGCTGAATGATGCCTGGAAAGACATTATTTATAGCCTGGAATTTGGAAAAAAATTAGGGTAATAGCAACTGAAAAGGGTGATGATGTATGAAAAGGTTTAATTGTGTTATACTAAAACTGTGCAGGATAAAAGTAGCTAATGAATGCTGAAAACAAACATATTGTCACCAAAATATTACTTTGATTTTTTGACAGAGTTTTTGTTTTATATATATATTTTTTTTTCTGGACTAGAGTAGATTTTAGTGTAGCTACTTTGCATTTGCCCTGAAGCATGGTGGTCGGAATCTGCTCCAGTGGCCCTTATTGACTTACTTGATAAAGTTAGCAGGAAAGTACTGCCAAAGAATTTGTTTTGGTCATAAGAAAAGCAGAAGCTGGACATTTTTCTTAAGAGAAAGATTAACCAAACAGGATCTTCATACTGCATAGCACCGTTTTTATGTATATATTTAGGTGTGACGAATGCTGACGATGAAAGCAGAGACAACAGGAGAACCTGATACAGTCAACTGCCTGTTCCAAGACATTGCAATCAAATGGAAATCTTTTTGAATTTAATTTGTTAGAGGAAAAGCAAGGGATGTAAGCCAAGGAGAGACATCCCTCACTAGGCACTATATTTCCATATCAGCACTCTGAGACATCCACCCTGTGGGTTCACACCCATACTCTGAGAAAAGGTTAGGAGAAGAACTGGAGGCTTACTGCCAGTCACCCCAAAGTATAGCTGAAAGCACTGTGGCATTACTGAAGTCAGTGGGACCATCTGTAACAGCATTTCCTGTATAGTTTTCCTTCCACTTCTTTTTTCACTTCTCCTCTGAACCATAGAGAATGCTGTTTACTCAGGCAAGCTGAAAATGACTTTTACCTTGTGGCAGTCTCTCGTAGGTAAGGTTACATTAAGCTCTACCTTGAAAGCTTAAGGTAGATGGATCTAAGCTATGACAAGAAGCAGCACAGTGAGGAAATAAGGAGCAGTCGTGACAGGAGCTACTTACTCAGGGCATTCCTGTAAGCATCTGCCTTTGTGGAGAAAGAAGGGCTGGTCTTGTTCACCCTGACACTTCTGGCAGTTCCAGAGGTTGGAGCACACCTCACAATTGTCCATGCACATCTCACACTTTCCACTTTCAACATTGGCAAAAGTTTGTTGAGGGCACTGAGAGACACACGTGTCATGGATAAGAAAATTTCCTGACAAAAGAGCAACCCAGGTGGGGAAAAGTACCAGTTAGAACTATACCCAGAAATTCCTGTCTTGGACGGCTATAAAAAATACTTTAATCTTCCTGTAAATTTGAATTTTTGGTGTCTAAAAAGATGAATAAAACATTCTCTAAGTCATTTCCCAAAGTATTTTGCTCATCCTTCACTAAAATTTAAGGTTAGGAAGAATCATCAGGATTATCTAGTATCTTCCTGAATAAATCCCTGTTCAGTAATTCCTGCATCATGTCTACAACATGAAAAAAAGAGAATAGGTTCAACTTCTACTTCACTTTTTTTTTTTTTTTTTTTTCTTTTCTCTCTCTCTCTCTCTTTTTTTTTTTTTTTTTCCCCTTATTTCTAAAGGCATGTGCTTGTTTCCTAGCTTCAGCTTTCCTTAACTTCAGCTGCTGATTATCTGATTACCTAAGCTGCCAATCAATGAATGACAATGAATGAAAATATTCCCTTGAATTGTGTAAGACACAAAATATTTTAACCTTTTGCAAAACCCAAAGAAGAGGAAGTCTCTTACCTTCTGGACATGAAGTACACACTTTAGCAGATTTGCCACAGGTCCTGCATGAAGGATCACAAGATTGTAACTGTTTATTTTCATCTGGAATAAAAAGAATACAAGTTCTGTTTTTGACAGTCTTACAACATTTTTTGTTGTTTCTGTTGTTGTTCAACAGGGAGGGAATCCTCACCTTTGAAGGGCTGTTTCCTATGACTTTTCCTAAGCCAAAATTACAATGTATGTTTGAGTTTTTGGAATTCTCTAACTTGGACAAATTGATGATTGTATTCAGCTCCACACTCTTAAACAATAAAATAGGAATTGTAATAGAGTAAAACATAAATATTATTTTGAGATTCATTAAAACACTGTTCTGAACTACTCACAGGAAACGAGGACAACACTTTAGCTTAACGTTACTAGTTTCAGTGTAGTGATCCAAAATCAGTTTCTGATCTGTAGTCCAAAAAGACTATGAGCAGGAAGAGGAGGAAAGTATGTAAATTTTGGGGACTTGTAGCAATGTATTTTCATGGAGACTTTCTACTAGCTGGTTGCCAAACACCCTCACTTTGTATCTAAAGGAGAAAACTCGGAGAAGGAAAAGGAGCAATATCAATATTTGGAAAGATGATTGGTAAAATTATTCTGCCCAGTGCTATTGCCTCCTATTTCCCTCTAAAAGAAGGACTCTGGCTGTGTGTCTAATTGAATTTTTATGCCTCTGGGAAGCTAAGACCTTGGTTATGCTTTGAATATACTTTATTCAATGCCAAGGAGATTTGAGGACTGTACTAAATACACAGAAATTTTGTTTTTTGTCTCACTGTGCAATTCTGTGCTTTGATCCAAGCAGACATAACAATGGTATAATGAAAGATTGATGAAAAATTAATAGTGGGCCAGTGGACACAAGACAGTAACCTTTTAATTTTGCTGGAAACCAAAAATAATAAAAAGAGCAGACTGAGCTTAGCATCTCAGCCCACCCAGTTCATCCTGCCAATTAAATACATGTGATTTCTATAAGTTGATGGGCTGGTTGACAGTGTCTCTTAAAAGTGTATAAGATATCACTCACTTTTTTTTTTTTTATTCTGACTGTCACAACAAAATAAGTTTAAATGCTGAAATTTTGAATGAAATTCATAAAAGCAAATGCTTTGGTTAAAAGGAAGAGAGAGGAGAAATGGAGTCATATGTAGATCTCTTTCCTACTAGTGGAAACACTGAACATTTTACTCAGCAGAGAGTCACTTGATAGAAAAGTGGGTATGTGCACACACAACATGGCACAAAACAGAAGGAGAAACAGTAATAAGTATAGTAATGATAATTGTTGTTATTGAAAACTGCACTTCTAAATGAGCAGAGCAATGGCTATCTCCATGAAAGAGACTATTCCCTAGTTTCCTTGAGCTTTTTCCTCAATTACTGAAAAAATCATTACCAAGTGTCCTTCTTCATGTCATCAGTATGAATATAAGCAATATTCTGAGAAAGCAACATGTTTGGTCTAAATTTTACCGAATTGAGCAGTACTTAGGCTTTCTATTCCCCTATTATGAATGCCTTTGAAACCTTTGCCCTTTTTCTTCTCTTGCAAGAGGATTCCTACTGACCTGTATGTCCTAAGTTTTTTATTTTCAGAGACTTTTGGCAATCTTTGAAACCAAACATTGCTTAATTGATGATATATTGAACAGGCTTGTAGTTTTTAGTTGATGTCTTTCAGTTTACCTCTAAAACTGTGGCTGACCCTCTGTTCCTGATGCCTGCCAGCAGTTCTATATCATATGCTGCTCTATCAGTCACTTTGATAAACCTTCAAGATTTTTCTGCTGAAATTGTCAATGACATTTTCTAAATATGTAGCAAATACAAATTTTAATTTCCCTCCTCAACAGCTTTACATCCAGCTACCTTACTAAGGCTTATGTTTTATTCCTTTGAAAATCCCTGCTGGGCAGTTTTAAGTGCTGTAATTTAGTACCAGTTATGTGCAGGAAGAAGCAAGCCAGAAATATCACCTAAGTATGTGTTGCCAATGAAAAAGGACCTTGATCCTGGCAAGAGATTTTTGTAATATAGAAAATAAATAGCAGTAAGATAAAGTCAAGCAGACAACTTGTTAACTACCACTAAAGAAACCTTAAGCTAGCTCATTGTTTCACAACATTTCACTCCTTACAATTAAAAATAAAGATTTTTTTTCAGTGAAGTACCTCTTATTTCCATTTAACATTTCCCTCTTTGGCAGCATTTGCTGCTTTCTGCAGTATGTGCTAGTCTCCACCAGAGGGGAACGTACACAAGCAGTTGTGCTTCTGACCTTTTGCCGGGCAGACAGGCTTTAAAAGCTTTTCGGCGAAATGTAAGTGCTTAAATGACACAGCTGGGCGACTGGTAGAATATGAACATTTTAAAATTAATTGATCTACCTTTTACGAAATTTACTATTATTATTGTTATTGTTATTGTTATTGTTATTATTAATGCATTTATTATTCTGGACAGTTAAAATTAGTTTTTCCTGTGACAGTGTTCTTACTGGCTCTTACTGGCTAGAAATAGGATTTCATTTATTGAATAAATGAATAAATAAGAAGAAAATATTAAATATATTTTTTCCTGCATAGTAAATATTCCAAAACATTTGTATTTTGCTACAGAAACCTGTGTCCACTACTTCCAAGAACAAGCTTTACCAAGAACAGCCTTGCAAAGCTGTCAAGAAAATTGGTCACACAAAATATATTTGCTTGGTCTTTGCACTGGTGATAAATGAAAGATTCAACTGGCATTTTTAGGCTTAAAAAAGTCTTCCACTTATTGGTGAAAAATTTGCTCAGCATGGTATGACAATTGAAATTGCCTAATGAAGCAAGAAAACTAATTAAATAACTACTGGCCTGGCAAAATTGCCTCCCTTCAAAGAAAGAGTTTGGTGGCTACCAGAAAGAATTGCCAGCTCAGGGACTTCAGCCATCCGCTCTGACCTGTCACTGTTCCTTACACATGACAAATAAAAGTCTCAGAGAAGGACAAACAAAATTCACAGCTCACTGTGAGCTGCTTGACCTTCCCTCCCCAGCCCCTCAAAGCTACCATTATGTATTTGGGAATCTTAGAAGCTTTCCTTTAACTTCTTTTCAGTCTGTAGATCTTATGATTGGTTGCAAATGAAACTTCCAAATGTAGAAGTTGTCTGTCTGTGATGTAGAATTGCGAACAACCCAAACTCTAAAAATGTGATGTAGACTATGAAAAAACATCATATTGTGTTATTATACTATTGCACATTTTTTTATTAGCGGCGCAAATACATGACATTTTCAGATCTACCAAGCTAGTTTTATCCTTATGTTTACTGTCTTCCCTGGGTTTTTCAAACTAAAATGCCTTCCATTTAGTGTTATTCAGGCCAGAATCTGACTCAATGTCACATTGATTCTTGTTCCTTTGTCAGAATGGGTAACAACTTTGACATATATCCAGCTCAATCTCCCTTATTCCTTTATGGAAACTGAGAAACTGAATCTTACTGTGCCACTACTTGAGCTACCATTTACTGCAGCTCAGCAGCTACCACAGCGCTATGCCCATTCTGTCTAGTCAAGGGCTTATCAAACTGAAGACTGATATATATATTTTTTTTCTGTTTTTTGTCCTGGTTTGGTTGGGATAGAGCTAATGAGCTTTCCCTTTCCCTTTCCCTTTCCCTTTCCCTTTCCCTTTCCCTTTCCCTTTCCCTTCCCTTCCCTTCCTTTCCCTTTCCCTTTCCCTTTCCCTTTCCCTTTCCTTGTCCCTGTTTCATTTATTTTTTATTTTATTTTTTTATTTTTTTTTATTTTTATTTTTATTTTATTTTTATTTTTATTTTTATTTTTATTTTTATTTTTATTTTTTTTTTATTTTTATTTTTTTATTTTTATTTTTATTTTTGTCTTTCTTATTAAACTGTCCTTATCCCAACTTATGAGTTTTCTGCTTTCTGATTTTCTCTCTCACCCAGCTGCGGGTGAGTGAGCCAGTGGCTCTGTTGTGCTCAGCTGCCTACTGGCAATAAACTGTAATAGTTTTCTTTTCTCATTTGAGCTTGTAAACGGGACATAAAAGACGCAATGGCAGTTTCTTGAAAACTAGTGCCGTAAGATGTTAACTGTGATCTCCAAACTGAATTAATGAAAAAAATGAGTGAAATTCTAGCTCCATTAAATACAATGTCACCATTTTCCCCTTTCTTTTTACTGAAGTGGTTTTACTTTGAACTGTATCCCAGAATTGTTTGATTTGATTTTAAAGAAAGATTAAATGAGTTCTCAAAAATATTCAGGGTGAAAAACTTAGGTCTGTATGGAAAGAAGTGGTTGTTTTGGAGAATTGAAGGCTTATTTAAAAGAAAACAAAACAAAGAAACATCAACACAAAAAGCCCTCCAAAACCTCAAGACCGGAGGTCAAACCAGAGAAGTGGACATATCTAAAGAGTCATGGCTTTAAATATAATGGCATTTGAAACAGCTTATAGTCCATCCTTTAATCTGTTTAGAGCCACAACTGCATTTTAAGGGTTCTTGCTAGGATAGATTCATCCTCTCTGTTCTTGTTCTTCTCCCATTTTGTTCTCTCTAACCACTCTTTATGGACAACGTACTTAATGACAGGTAGTGCAAGCAGTAAATGTTCATATGGATGAAGTTTTTTTTTTGTTTTGTTTTGTTTTTTTTTTTTTTTTCTTCTCCATTTTAGATCTTATATATTCATGCTCTTCTCTGAATAAATGAGGGACCTAAAAGCTTATATTTTTAAGTTGCTATCAATGTAGCTACTTGTGCACATTTGTATTTGAAATGCCTTTATCTTCTAGTTAAAAAAGATATTGAGTTCTACAAGGAGAGTATTTTTGCAGTGTAGAACCATGGCACAGTTGCTGCAGTGAGGAATGCAGAAGGAAATGTGCATGCATATTCCTTTTAGAATGTGACCTGTCTGACTTTTATACTGTGTAGTGTGATGTGATTTGAATATGATCCAGCTGAGATGGTACCTAGTTTGTTAGATTTTATTCTGCACATGGCACTGGCCTTGAAACACTGA